TGATCCGCGGCGATCGTACGTCATAACCATTTATAAAATTAATTTAAACGCATAAGGATATGGAAATTTATTTCAGAAATGTGTCAGGAATATATCAGTTAAACAAAACAGTGCCTTGATTGTCATTAAAACCTGGTGAACACAAGTTGAAAACATTTCTCAGACCTTTCTAAAAATTTTCCTAGATCAAACTGAACCCACCAGAGAGCGTTGACGTTTCATTTTCCAATTTTACCAAATTTTGGTTTATTTTTTTGTCTTAGGGTTTACTTTTTGGCTATTTAATTATGCAGAGTTAAAAATAGTTTTAAATTCTTGGTATGCATCGCATTTATCTCCATAAGAGCTTATAAGTTATGGATTATCTAAAATATTGAAACCGTACATCATGCTTTGCGTATACTTTTCTAAAGTGAGGACGTCCTAATCCCTCTGATAGTTTAATACTGATGGAGTGAACCCATAGTTCCATACTCTCCTTAGGCATAGTCTGCAATCAGGCCGCCCAGGCACTTGATTTGATAGCTATAATGCCTCCACGACGTTCGCTAAAACAGATGTCTGAAAATTTTTTTACGGTTCAGAAGTAGTGACATGCGGATGTATTCAACACAGAGTGGGCTCGTGTTTAACACTACATGGACTGTAGTGATTATACCGAAAATGTGTCATAAACATTTAGAAAATCAGAGGAAAATCTGAGTTAAAGGCTCATTGTTTTACAAATGTGTCAGAAATGTGTCAAAAATGCACTGCCAACGGAGACCTTTGCCCATTGTGTCATTGAAATATGTAAAAAATGAATTCGAAACATTTCGGTGACACAATCTGCAAATGTTTCACAGACACATAAAATGTGGTGACATGGGAATGTGTTGAACACAGAGTGGCTTCGTGTTTGACACTTCATTCGGGTTTTTAAAGTATCACGTGAAACATTTCAGAAATGAGGCTTGGTGTCATTGACACGTTTTAAAAACATCTCTAAGACTAGGTGTGCAATTACGGTACCTCCTGGTACCAAAAATCAGCAAGATTGATCAAACAAAAGCCGGGATAGCATTTTAGGCCACATCCGCCATCTTGGATTTTTGGACTTTCAAAATTTGACCAGAAATTCAAGTTTCCCGTCGAAAAATACCTCCCGGTACCAAAAATCAGCAAGATCCATCCAACAGGAGCCGAGATAGCATTTTAGGCCACATCCGCCATCTTGGATTTCTGAATTTTCAAAATTTGACCAGAAATTCGAGTTTCCCGTCGAAAAATACCCCCCGGTACCAAAAATCAGCAAGATCGGTTGAACAGGAGCCGAGAATGCCGAGAAAGCATTATGCCGTCCTGTCTATAGTTCCGAATGGGCCTGTTGCATGCAAGAGATACAGCCGCGCGAATAGACTTTTTAGAGGTTAAATGGCACGAAAATTACGATGGTCACATTAAAAAAGTCTGAAATACACTCCTTACTGCGCAATTTGCGTTGTTAGGAACGCGCTTTTTCAAATTTCCCGCGTCTGGGGGCAGTTTTCTAATCACCGGAAACGAGCAAACGGCGGGCTCGGTGATTTCCGGAAGATGCAAGGTCGTTGTTGTTGTTGTTATTTTTTCCTTCAGTTTGTTTAAAAACCCAACGTGATCTCTTACAGTGGTCCATATACGCTTTATGCGGTAACCAAATCGATCAACTTTTAAATATCCAACGTAATCCTTCTAAATTTCATTTCACGATATCACGAGCTTCGATTTTTAGGTTATGTTGTCAGTTTTAGTTGACCGGAAATAGCCGCGAGTTGCCGTTAATTGTTTCCGTTTGAAAACTGCCCCCAGACGCGGGAAATTTGAAATAGCGCGTTCCTAACAACGCAAATTGCGCAGTAAGGAGTGTATTTCAGACTTTTTTAATGTGACCATCGTAATTTTCGTGTCATTTAACCCCTAAAGCGTCTATTCAGCCGGCTGTATCTCTTGCATGCAACAGGCCCATTGCAAAATGGGAAATCCGAGTTTCGCATTACGCAATAGGGAACCATAGTATAGGTCCCAATTGCAAAATGAACTTCGCGTGATCCTGCGACGGCAAATTTTTGCGGGGTCGCTGAAGCGGGATAAAAATTGTTTTTGAGGATTTTCTTTTTCTCAATAATAAGTAAATACCCTTCTGATACGGAATTCATCATAAAAAAAAAAATCGAAAATTTGACCCTAGTTCCTTATTGCATAAAGCTGTCCAAATAATGATCGATCAAATAATTCTCAGCACTTTCATCATCATCGTAACCGTCGTTGGAGTGAATTCCACAACGGTGGCGGAAAACTCATCCGAAGCAAACATCACAATGTGCCCTGTCCGTCTGGAAATCAAATGCGCACCCTCTACCTTGACGGACGTTCTTCTATTCATCTTGAGTTTAATGGCGCTCATTTGCTCCGCTCCGTACCTGTACTCCAAGTACCTATCATCCGACTGGAAGTTCCGTTTCATCAGGATGGCCCGTAAAAATAACAATCGGAAAGTGGATGACAGAAGTGTCGATTTAAAGGTCGGAGAAGGAGAAGGGATCGATGTTTGTGGTTGACAACCCTCACGTTTTTTAAACGCGCACGTTTTCTGAACGTGTGCGTTTCTGGAACGCGTACGTTTTCTAAACGCGAACTGTTTCTGGAACGCGTACGTTTTCTAAACGCGTACGTTTCTTGAACGCTTACGTTTTCTAAACGCGAACTATTTGTAACTGTAACAGTAAATTTCCACCCAAAAAAAATAAAAATTTTTGATTCATCAAACCGAACATTGCTATATCCAATCCCAGTTGCTCAACGCAAAACACAAGGTTCCCGTACGCATCTCCAAGCGCACACTACTGAAAATTGAAACTCCCGAATCAGATCGACCCTAATCTCCAGTCCCCGATACCAGGCCCATACTGTAAGATATGGTCTATCGTGGATGCCGCCAAAATTTTACAAGTCCGAAATCTCGAAAACTAAAACTCGTATCAAAATTCAGTCCGTAGTGTTTTCCGATCTTCGATAACGGAAAAGAATCAGAGGTGTTCAGAGGTGTTCAGAGGATTTCGGTGTTAAAATAACACCGAAATCACATATTCGTTCATTTCCTGTGTCCAAGTGATTCTCTGTTTGTTTTTTGAGCCTTGCGAGAAGGGCTGCAACTGTGGAGTAGCAGCAACGCTCTCATCAGGCACAACCACAAGATGTTGTGGAGTTTGATCGCTATCCCAAGTAGCATTTTTCAACGGAAAAATCGCGATTTTATCGCCGAAAAAATCGCGATTATCCTGGATTTTATCGGCGATAAAATCGCTAGGATCATCAACATCTGAGCGATTATCCTCAATCTTTTCGTGATTTTATTGCGATTTTATCGGCCCTAAAAAATTGCGATTTTATCGCGAGGATAATCGCTCAGATGCTGATGATCCTAGCGATTTGATCACCGATAAAATCGCCAAAAAAAGGGGTCTACGCTATTAGCCGATTGCCGTTAGGTTCAGCCGTCAGGTCCTTTGACGAAGACGAGCGTAAAATCCCCGGAGCCTCCGCGGGGATTCGAACCCCTTTTCGCCACGGTGGTAGGCCAGCACTTTCTCACTGGGCTATGGCCGCTGTATGCCTAACGAGTGCGAATTGAAGCCTCTTATACATGGATCGGCGCTTCGCAACCTTACAACTTTTGTCATTGCGTTGACTGACACCGAGTTTTCATTGGATTTTTTTTTTTTATTTTCCCTCCTCTGTATTTTATTTCATACCTTGAAATACGGTTGGTAAAATAAGGTTCTATTGGTAATCTCATAATTCTGTCTCGGTAAAATTACCAATAATAGTGAGATGGCAAAGTTACCGATGGACCTTGGTAAAAACGCCAACATTTTTTATCGACTGTGGTAGAATTATTGAGATAAAATTGTAAAGTTACCGGAAATTGATTACCAATAAAAGTGGTGCATATTCCTACCTGAAAAAACCAGTAAAAATATCGGTTTTTAGGTAAGCTTACCAGTCTCCCTTGGTAACATTACCAATAATTGGTAAGAAAGTGAGATGGTAAAGTTACCAACGGACCTTGGTAAAAACGCCGAGAATTTTTTCTCAGTGTGGGCGTATCTCCCACCATCCAAACCCCACGCCCAACCTCGTATCGAGTCGTTCTTACACCTCCGCTAAAGAACATCTTTCATAAGCGTCATTCATGCGTTATTGGGCGTTGATGAGAAATTTCAATTTTATCTCTACAAAATGTCGTTCTATGAAATCGAAATTTTATTGCAATTTAATGCGATGAAATCGCAATTTATCGCGATTTTTATCGGATAATATTGCAATAAATCAACGTCGATAAAATCGCGATACATTCTCCGAGTAAATCGCAATTTATCGCGATCACTGCTACTTGGGATTGTCATTTCTGGATGTAGAAGGATTTATCAATCCAACGATGCGTCAAACGATACGGTGAAAAGTAAGGTTCGTAGTGCCCTGGGGGGGGGGGGG